TTAGTCCACCACTTGCCTCACCACTTGACCACTTGCCCACTTGCCTACCTTCTARAAGGTCTACAGCTAAGCTTCCAGAACTCCCTAAGACTCCTACGCTATAGACCTACAGATCGAACCCCTGCTGTCTATGGACCTACGACAGGTCTACCAACTGCCTACGAATACACAGGTCGCAGGTTCAATTCTCCGGGCCTACACAGATACTGTACATGGGTAGGGTGAGGTCTAGGGATCGAACCCTGGGTACTGCATCCGCTACTGCTAAAAGGTGAAAACCGTTTCACTATCCACTCCATGAGCTCACCCACTCCACTGAATCCTTCACATGGACCGAACGCCACCAAGTCACCTTTGACAAACTCAAACACCTCATCACTACTGCCCCTTTTCTCAAGATCGTCGCGCAACTTCTACGTTACCGCCGACGCTTCGAGCTTTGCCCTCGGCACCATTCTTTCCCAACATTTCCCTCGCGACCCCCCCCCCATCAAGGGTTCCCCCACACAATACAAAGCACCTCCCGACGAGTACCCTATCGCATTCGCGAGTAAGAAGCTCATTGCTGCTAAGATGAATTATCCCTCCAATGAGAAGGAACTCCTCACTATCATCTATGCTCTTAAAGTCTGGCGCCCTTACTGCGATGGCCAGTACTTTACCATTCGCACCAACAACACTGTCGTCTCCAGTATCCTCACCAAAAAGGATATCACCCCTCGTCAGGCCCGCTGGTGGGACTTTCTCGCCCAATTTACTTTCACCATCTGCCATACTCCCGGCAAGACCAATCGTGTTGTTGATGCCCTCTTTTGCCGACCCAATCACAAGCCCCGTGAGAAAGTCTTTGCTGCCATGACGCATGCCAACCTCCCCCAATCTCTCCAACATCGCTTCGTCCATGGCTACGCCTCCTGCCCCGACTTCGCCCCTACCTACACCAAACTCCGCGACCTTGACACTGTCCCTGACTATTCCCTCATCGACCATCTCCTCTACATCGATACCAAAGGAACTTGTCGCCTTTGCTTCCCTTCCGTTCGTGGTCTCCGTATGCATTTTTTGGATGAACACCACGATGCCAAGACTGCCAGACACCTCGGTTTCCAGAAAACCTTTGACAATATCTCTCGTTACCTCTACTGACCTTCGCTCCTTGCCGATGTCAAAGCTTACATCCGCTTTACCCTACTTGCCAAGTCGTCAATCCCTCCAGCCAAGCCAAGGCTGGCAAACTCCAATCTCTCCCCATACCCACCCACCGTTGGCAATCTGTCTCCGTGGACTTCGTCTGTGGTCTCCGCACGACCGACCATAGTAACAATTGCATCTATGTCGTTGTCTGTCACCTTACCAAGCATGCGCTCATTTCATCCCTTGCACCACCACCTGCCAAGCCATGGGCGTTGCCAAACTCTTCTACGACCACATCACCCGTCATCACGGTCTCCCTGAAAACATCATCCATGATCACGACTCCTGATTCCTCTCACAGTTCCGGAGAAACCTCTTCAAGGAATACAGGACCACCCTCAAGTACAACACCGCCTTCCACCCCCAGACTGTTGGCCAGATAGAGGAGATGAACGATACTCTCCAGCGCATCCTCCGAAAGTATTGTCATCCCCATCAGCATGATTGGGGCGAGCTCCTTTCCGCTGCCGAGATCGCCTACAACAACGTTGTCTTCCCCTCCACTGGCAAGTCTCCTTTCTACCTCGACCTTGGCTACCATCCTCGCCTACCCTCTGACTTCTTGCTCCCCTCGCAGCTCAACCCATCTACTTCCTGCCCCTCTCTCAATGAAGGGGTTGCCACAATGAACCGCCTCCTAAGAGAAGCCACCAAATCTATTCAACAAACTCAGGAACAACAAGCCAAGCAAACGAACAAACATCGTCGTGACGTCACTTTCCATGTTGGGGACAAAGTCAGGCGCTCCGCCAAACGCTTTGATCTCGAACAAGGCATACTTGAAAGAATTCCACGAATCACCTCCTCAATTCTCTGATCGCCCTCATCCTCGTCCAGCACCTATCATGCTTCCCACCTGTCCTAAAATTCTATGTGGAGTCAATCATCGGCCGTAGAACAACTCAAGTATCCAACCACCCCGAGCCTATCACAAAATACAAAGTAAAATGGACAGGATACCCGGACGAAGAATCAACTTGGGAACCCCTTGCAAATCTGAAGAACATTATGAAACTCGTTCGTGCCTATGACCGTACCCACCCTGTCTCATAGCTATCTACTTGCCTATGCCTCGATCTGTACATACCTACTCTACACACACCACTCCTGAACCCATCCTAACCCCTACCCTTGATCTTGATCTCTCGCTGTCTGATCCGCCCTTGCCTCAGCCTAAGTCCTTCCCATCTATCCTCTACCACACTCTCGGTCTCTCTTGACCAATGGTTGTGGACCTGCGTGACGCCAACGATAAAGGATCTAATGGCAAGCGCACGAGGACGATGGCCTGCTGCCTCATGATCATGAACATAATGCAGCTGGTTTGGCCACCATGCTGTTTCCTTGGCCGACATTTGGACTCGCGGACTTACTTGAGCAGCGGCATGTGATCTGGACCTTAGCATCAGTCTGCTATTTCCTTGCTACCGGATCAGACTTCCTCGGAGTTCATGGACCGGATGACAAATGGTTGTACACCTAACTAATCAAAACATAAACATAGAATCATTTGTGTGGATAGGACAGCATGGAATTTTCTCGAACTTATCATCTGGAATTTACCCCTCCCTTAGTTCCCCTGAGTATCACTTGATGTCAGCGTCCCTGAGCAATCTGGAGAGCGTCGCGTGTCTAAAGGTGTGTGTCCGGCCCACCCTTGTGCCCCAGTATCTGCTGAGTTGGTCAGCCCTGCACTGGATTATCCTCGCGTGCAGCGAGCCTTACAACCAATGGCTGATCCAGAGGCAATTTAACCTCCGCCCCCAAGGGACTCCAGGAATTCTTTTACGTCGCAGTCGGGCGACGATCACAGCCAATTGTTCCCCTTCCGGTGCTTATTTAAAGACACATGGTCTCGTCTCCCTTAAGGGCTGCCCTGCCCTGCTGCCCTGCAGTACCCATCTAACAGCGCAACAAGCCGAATAAAGGACAAGTAGCAAAGCATGCGTGCTCTACTCCCGGTGGGTTGGCATGGTGACCGTGACACAGTGCTTCGTCCAGGGCCCTTCAGAAAGCTCCGCCCATCTTCTCCCAGATGCTCCACGTGAACATTGCCGACTCTCAAGGTTGAGCGCACTCGACACCTCACATTGAGAGGACTCTCAAGAAGGAACACACAACCTCACGGTAAGAAGTGTCGGAGAGGGTAGATAAGGTTAAGAGCAACGTACCTCAAACAACTGCCCCCWACCACAGAGATAATCTYACCACATGACCTTATGGCGATTGCAATGACCAGCCACTGCATCGGCACAACCAGCATTATCTCGCCGTTCCACCTCAGCATCAATCGCACATTAGATAGTTTTCATCACACTKTCCAGACCACATTACCCCGACGTAGCCTTCCTGGTGATCCCCTCACCTCCTGGGTCGCCTATACACTCGTCTCCACCCTCCTCACTACACACCACTTACGGCCAAACTCGCCAAGTAGACCGCATGTATGTACCGCATAAGGCAGAAGACAAGCGCCAGATGAGCGCAATCGTACCACAACTCCGATACCAAATTGCAAGGAAGATGAGCAATAGCGAACTTCAGCAATCAAACAACATCATACATATGAGTCCAGATAGTCGTGACCTCGAACCAACACCAGAATTGCATCACGAGATTCACCAAATAAGAACACACCAAGAGTTCATAATTGACAATGCTGAAATAGTCCCATCATCATCAACGAAGAACCAGAGTTGATATCCTATCTGGAACACACCCAGAGTTCATAATTGACAATGATGAAATAGTCCCATCATCATCAACGAAGAACCAGAGTTGATATCCTATCTGGCGCTCGGCGCCCAGACTACATGTGGCAGATCCTTTCTAGCCTACACTACGATGCCGAAAGATGACGTCAACAGCTTTCCCGAAGTACGAGCATACAGCGACCAGCGTCGCACGCTTCCAGCACCAGGTATGTCTCTCGCCACACTCACAACCTCGTTCCCCAACACACAGATGCCACTAGCACCCAAGGACCACCCTGCGCTTCACCCAGCTTACAGCCACACAGCTCGGCTATGGCTGCGTGCTCCTTCCCTGCTCGCCCGTGAGAGCGTAGGCGCCAGCCAGCAAATAGTGCAGCAGCGCTTGCGCAGCATGCAGCCAGCACCCGAATCCCGAATGCGAAGGCAGGCCCTTTGCTATATCGAAGTGGCCTGCCTGCGTTCGGTCCCAGGAAGCTTCCAGTAGGCCCCGGTAGCCTGAGGCCCAGCACGACGAGAACAGGCCTTCGTCACCAGCCAATAAGGCATTGGCGCTGTGCTTGCACAACAGGAGGGGCCAAAGTTGAGGCTTAGAGTACATGTCCAAGAAAATGCCGTCTCAGAAGTTGGCTAAGTCCACTTATGAGAAAGAACTCTATGCGGTTTACAAGGCTTTGACCCATTGGAGGCACTATCTCCTTGGGAGGTTCTTCATCCTCAGGACTGATCATCAGACCCTGAGATGGATGAGAACTCAGCCGGTACTCTCTGACGCTCTCAAGCGTTGGATCGAAGTCATTGAGCAGTATGACTTTGACCCTCAGTATCTGAAAGGGGAGTACAACAAGGTTGTTGATGCCTTGTCGAGTAGACCTGATTTCTTAGGTGCGGTGATTACTRAGTTCGATGTGACGGACAATGTTACTCAGTCCTTGGTGGAAGCCTATCRCGAGGAMCACTTCATGTCTGAGATCATACGCAGACTGCAGGCGAAGGACAAGAAGACCTCTGCCGAGTTTGAATTGGTCAATGGCTTGCTGTTCCTTGAGAAGGCAGGGAAGAAACGATTGTGTGTCCCTAGTAGCGAGTCTTTGCGTAGTTTATTTTTAGGTGAGTGTCATGATGCCACCGGCCATTTTGGGTACAAGAAGACCGCAACTAATCTGCTGCAGCGGTTCTGGTGGCCCAYGATGATGCGAGATGCCCAGCTGTACGTGGAAACTTGTCAAGTCTGTCAGAGAGAYWAGCCACATACGCAGGCTCCTCTTGGGCTACTGAAGCCCCTTCCGATTCCGGAACGACCTGGTGAGAGTGTGTCCATGGACTTCATGGATACTCTGATCACCAGCAAGAGTGGGATGCGACACATCTTCRTCATCGTGGATAGATTTAGTAAGTATGCTAGGTTAGTAGCAATGCCGGAAATAGCAAGGATGGAGTATGTGATCAGAATGTTCAAGGAGAACTGGGTTAGGGACTTTGGGTTACCGAAGTCTATTATTAGTGACAGGGATGTCCGATTTACCAACGAACTGTGGAAGGCCGCTGCTGCAAAGCAGGGAACCCAGTTGCAAATGACTTCTGGGAATCACCCAGAGGCCAACGGCCAGGCCGAGCAACTGAACAGCGTTGTACAACACCTGTTGAGGCATTACATCAAGCCCAACCAGGTGGACTGGGATGAGAAGCTTGCACTCATCGCCAGTCTGGATAACAATGCGGTACACAGTGCCACCGGGGTGAGCCCGAACAGTTTGCTACTGACTTTCAAGCCTAGACTACCCTTAGATTTTCTCCTTCCTGAGAATCAGTCGATTRCTGCACCAGGTACGTTAGAGTTTGCTTACCGATATGAACAGAAGATGCAGCAGGCTGTAGAACAGATGCAAAAGGCACAAGCGGCTATGATAGAATCTGCGAACAAACATCGCCGTGAGTCTTCATTCCAAGTTGGGGACAGAGTCAGGGTTAAGTCCTCAAAAGTGGGACAGGAGCACGGGATCTCCCACAAGCTCATGCCACAGTACTTTGGACCTTCGGAAGTTTTAGACATCGTTGGGACAGATCCGGATGGGCCATCTTATGTTATCCGGATCCCTGGTCATCTTCGAACTTACCCTGTCTTTCACGCCTCCAAGCTTGCACCTTTCAAGGAAACAGATGAGTTTCCTTCTCGTCGCTCAATGCTGCCCCCAACCATGGATGGAGAAGTGGACATCGATGACATCGTGGATCATAGGAGCTGCCAGCTCAGAGACCTGCAGGAAGGGGACGTCCTCCAAAACCGAAGCTGCAGTACCACATTCGGTTCAGACATCATACTGATCCCAAGGAGGACCGTTGGTTCACGAGGGAAGAACTCATGCAGACCGCTCCTCAAGTTGTAGCCCATTATGAGAAATCTCTGAAGAAGGGAAAGCGCCCCATGATTGAAGACTGAGCTTCTCAGAGGACTGTTGAAGCTAAGGAGGAGGGAATGCGAGGCCACTGCCTTTATGAGCCCCATAAGGCCCCATTTTGCAGCCCATCGGCCGCCCTAAGTGAAGGCAGGCTCGACGAGGCCCTCAGGGCCCTATTCTGGCCACCACGCAACTCAGGGAACTTCAGGCAGTTGCGCAGCGCCAGTTGGTTGAGTGAACCCAAGCCCTGGGCCGCTTGTGTGAATGTATGTGAAGCAGGCCCTGGGCTGGATACGGGTACTGGGCCAAACACAGGCCAAAGGCAGTTGGGCACATGCATGCTTCAGATGTCTGAAGGCAGCCTCGCACTCGTCTGTCCATTCCCATGGGGTGTCAAGGCGAGTCAGATCAGTCAAAGGAGCGGCCACTAGTCTATAGTTCTCAACGAAAGTCCTATAGTAGCCTTTCATTCCTAAGAAAGATTTCATCTCAGTCACAGACTTAGGACGTGGCCAATCACGAATGCTGGTCACCTTCGCGTCATCGGGCTTTAACCCTTCCGCGGATATCTCATGGCCCACGTACAAGACACGGGTGCGGCCAAACTCGCACTTCTCACCGTTGATCTTGAATTTGTGTTGTCGAAGGAGGCTGAGGAATTTGTCCAAATGTGCAACATGCTCCTTGACAGCCTCACTAAAAATAAGTACGTCATCGAGGTACACGATGACAAACGTATCCAAGTAGTCATGGAATATCCGATTCATAGCGCGCTGAAAGGTGCCAGGAGCATTGCAAAGGCCGAAAGGCATCACCACAAACTCGTCCAGACCGTACCTGGTCTGAAAGGCGGTTTTGTGTTGATCCTCGGGCCGGATTGCAATCTGATGGTACCCGGACTTCAGATCTATCTTAGTGAAGTACCGACACCCTTGCACTCTATCTAACAGATCATCGATTCATGGTAGGGGCTCTCTATTCTTTACAGTGATGGCATTGAGGCCCCTATAGTCAATGCACATCCTAAGTGTACCCTCCTTCTTCTTAGGTACGAATAGAACTGGAGACCCATAAGGAGAGACACCCGGCCGGATCCAACCCTTCTCTACGAGTTCCTTGAGTTGCCGGCGAAGCTCATCGAGCTCACCATGGTAGGGATACTAGACCGTGGGATAATCTCTATCGTGTGGACGACCTCCCTCTCTACAACCCCTGTCGGCTCTTCAAATAGATCAGGGTACTTAGCAAATACTCCCACTATCTCCGGCGGCATTTTCACCGGCTCGCCGGCAACAAAGACATAAACTAGGTACATACCCTCCTCCTGATTTTGCTTATAATAGTTATAGAACGCGGCCGCACACATGCATCCATAGGACTCGATCAGACTACTAGCTTTGAACTTGTGCAATCTAGCGGTCCCTCMACCTGGCAAAGTGTGTTTGACCACTTTTCGGTCCTAGTCAAACTGGGACTGAGCTACAGAGAGGTAATACATTCCTAGTAACATATCCATTGGGAGCTCGTCACTCACTAGGAACAAGACCTGATRTCTCAATTCTCCTCCCKCRTACGRGAAACAACACTCCACATTTTGGAGGTAGTCATTGACTACCATGCGCTGTTTGTTGGCACAGGTTGACTCCACAGATCGACTCAGGCGCTGCACTTGCCCCTGTAAGCGCAGTCTCTCAACGCACGCGCGACTGATAAAGTTCCTAGTCGAGCAAGTGTCATAATAGGCCCCGGCCTTGCGGCCGCCAATGACAACCTCGCTGAGGAACATCTCACCSTWAGGGGCTTTGACTAGGGCCGTCMAAGAAGCTAGCGGGTCTGATCTAGACCACTCCACCTCTAGCTCCTTCAAGGACTCAAACACATTCATCGACCAGAGGCTCGATGGGTCTGAATGTGTTTGCGGGACGACACTGGAGTAAGTAGCTTGGGCCATCTCTCGAGATGGTGAGGGTGTCTCCACCACCTCGACCCTAGCAGGAACAACTACTATTCCTACTGGCCCGACGTGTTTCCYGGAGCACTGCCAGAAGAACTAGCCACGTTGCTACCAACGGGATGGGAGGATCCCAACACCTGCCCCATCGTAGGCGGGATCTTATCGGTCACCTTCTTGTTGCGGCACTTGARCTGGTTATGGCCATATTGGCCACAACGAATACAGGCCTGCCGTGAATAACGATCTCTCCACACGTCCTCTGTGAGACCCGCTTTCTCCCATGGAGGAGCGTTGGGGTCAACTTGACTCCTTGACCGGGAACCTCCGCGGCGTCTACGGGTCGCCTTACCTTTCTGAGTTACGACAGCGACTACTCCACCCTCTGAAGCTTCTGCGCTGCCAGCCTCTGAACCTACTCCTTCCTGGAAGTGTTCGTCTAATTCGATGGTTGAACCATCATTATCGACAAACATAATGCGCCCCTTCGCCTTCCAGTTAGGAGGCAGTGTCTTTCTTCTTCCATCCTAAGTGGGTGCTTGTCCATGCCCTATCTTCACCTCAAGGTCTAGGGCCATCTGGCTAAACAAAGGAAAGTTGTGCATATTGATGTTGGCCTGCCTTGCCAACTGGTTCCTGAGAGGCAAAGAGAAGCATCTCAGGTACGAGGTAAGTAAACCTGGGGGTCATAGCGCACCCCTGGGACACAGATCAGACGCTCAACAACGTCAGTGGCTTCCCTTACTGACTTAAACTGCCGCGTGTGCAGTGTCAGGATCGCATCAATGGCCCTTTGGGCCTCCTGAGGATYGTGCTACCTTTCCTCCACCATCTTCAGGAAGTCCTCCAATTTCTGGGTGACCGCCCAAGCGCGAAAGTGATGACCATACCCCTGGAGCTGCACTAAACCATTCAACCATCTTGTTGCACTACCCTCTAGGTAGGAAGCAGCCACAAGCACTTCTTCGTGCCGCAAGGTCAGTTTACACCTGGCATAGACTGGCATTGACCTCAACCATGTGTCGAGGTCTTCGCCTCTCTTGTCCCCTGTGAAGGGTTTCGGAGCGGCGATGGCCGTCTTTGGAACCCACTGTGTTTGTCTTGGTCCCTGCATCACGGCGGGCTGTGGACCCTGTGACACAGGTTGCTGTGCTAGCTGCTGGGGCTGTGTGCCCTGCGGCTGCACAGGCCGCGAGACAGTAGGCTGCGTGGTGACTGCAACCTGCAACAGAGATTGGGTGTACACTGTCTGTAAAGGAACCTGCAAACTAGTTCCTGCTGATACCCCTCCTGTAAGTGGCATGCCCAGGGAAACGGTCGCTATCGATGATGGAGCTACATATGGGGATACACTAGTCACCGGTGGGACATAAGGAGGAGGATGTACAACGGGCCAGGCACCAGGCCCAGACATTGGTGACGTTGCTGGCGCCCGCCCAACCAACAGGGCCAGACTCTGCTGGATGTCCTGAAGGATGGTTGTCTGCTGGTCCTGCATCTCCACTACATTCAGCAGGAAAGACCGAATGATCCTCACATCATCCGTCACGTGCGCCAGGTCCATCTCCTCTAACTCATTAACGTCCGCTTGTCTACGTTGCATCATGGCTCTTCTTCTGATCATCCTTTCTTTCTCCGCTTTTATATATCTCCTAACGCCTTTTTTAGCTGTGCCTCCTGCAATGTTGCTTGTTGTATGGCGATCACATTGGGCATCAACACTAGTGGCTGGCTTGCCATTACCCCAGCGGACTGACTCTGGGTCTGCGTGACCGTTGACCCRAYMGAACCTGAACTACCGGCCTGAGTAGTCTGCTGCGCAGAAGTGGCCATGGCTTCCGAAGCTGCGGCCTCACTCACAAGTGCCCTGCTAGCCTCTGCTGCTCTAGCCCTCCTCTGCTGCKGCTGCCTCTCCCTAAGCTRGCGGAACAGAAATTTGTCGCCCWCTGGTCCTAATGCCAAGTGGGCAATTGGGCGTCTAGCCGATCGCAATATCCTCCGGTCGTCCTCTTCAGTGTCCTCCTCGTCGCTCATAAGCTACAGCCCTGTACACAATCTGCACTAATGCACTCTAGGTGCCTACCGCAGCGTGGTGCACATACCAATTAACTGGTGGCTATTTCGGAGACTTTACATTCGGGTCAACAGGTAAGTCAGATTCCTACAAATAAAACTATTTTTAGTTTGACTAGTCCGCAAACAGAAGCACCATGAACAATAAACTATTCTAACTAATGTTGTTTGTCAGATGTCAATGGTTGTACACCTAGCTAATCAAAACATAAAAATAGAATCATTTGTGTGGATAGGACAGCATGGAATTTTCTCGAACTTATCATCTGGAATTTACCCCTCCCTTAGTTCCCCTGAGTATCACTTGACGTCAGCGTCCCTGAGCAATCTGGAGAGCGTCGCGTGTCTAAAGGTGTGTGTCCGGCCCACCCCTGTGCCCCGAGTATCTGCTGAGTTGGGCAGCCCTGCACTGGATTATCCTCGCGTGCAGCGAGCCTTACAACCACTGGCTGATCCAGAGGCAATTTAACCTCCGCCCCCAAGTGACTCCAGGAATTCTTTTACGTCCCAGCCGGGCGACGATCACAGCCAATGGTTCCCCTTCCGATGCTTATTTAAAGACACCAGGTCTCGTCTGCCTTAAGGGCTGGCCTGCCCTGCTGCCCTGCAGTACCCATCTAACAGCGCAACAAGCCGAACAAAGGACAAGCAGCAAAGCATGCGTGCTCTACTCCCGGTGGGTTGGCATGGTGACCGTGACACAGTGCTTCGTCCAGGGCCCTTCAGAAAGCTCCGCCCATCTCGCAGATGCTCCACGTGAACATTGCCGACTCTCAAGGTTGACCGCACTCGACACCTCACATTGAGAGGACTCTCAAGAAGGAACACACAACCTCACGGTAAGAAGTGTCGGAGAGGGTAGATAAGGTTAAGAGCAACGTACCTCAAACAACTGCCCCCWACCACAGAGATAATCTYACCACATGACCTTATGGCGATTGCAATGACCAGCCACTGCATCGGCACAACCAGCATTATCTCGCCGTTCCACCTCAGCATCAATCGCACATTAGATAGTTTTCATCACAC